GAGGGGGGTAAATGTAATATCATAAATGTACGACTGTTTTTTCTCCTCTTTAAAATTTCCTTCCATACATATATTATCTCTGTTTGAGTTAGAAAATAATATTTTCCTTTGTGTTAAGTTAGCAAGAAAGCTATAAAGAGAAAAGAAATAGTTGAATAGGGAGAGGAGTGGCAGAAGCATTTTGTTATAATGTTTTGTTGGAGGTGTAAGATGTAGAGAAGCACACGAATGAGGTTTAGAGAGGCATGGGGGAGAGAATATTAGTATATATGAGTAGAATCTGAGTGACGTGTGTTCCGTGGATGAAGGTGTTGCATTTAAGAAGGTTAAGTAAGAGTAGGAGTGAATGAATGAAAAAGTAAGGGGTGATTGTAGGTTTATGGAAGAGGTTTAATGTGCATGGGAAAAGGGGGACCTGGTTGATTATGTAAGAAAATGGTAATTGAAAGTGTAGGGGTTGTGATGTTTGAATTATAGTAGCAGGATTTGATGCTTTTATGGACAGCTTGCTTCTTAAGTAGTGGAAAGCCTGGGCATTACCAATTACACGTTTAAGATGCTTTGCTTGTTTTGGGGGGTCTTGAGCATCAGTTAAAGCTGCGTGCTTCAACTGTGGTCCACACAATATATAATGTAATGTAATCCATTGGTGCAAGTTTTTGGTTATTGCATGAGTGAGATACACAATATACAAAGGCCTACATACCCGTATCTCTCCTACCAACATGTCCATCACTTAACGGATACTGTCTCTATGCTCCCTTCCATCAAATCACACACACCACGACCTCCCATGCTTTTTCTCACTTCACCTTCATCTTATATTTCTTTCTCCTCTCCGTCGCTATCCTCCTTCAACCACTCACCACCTTTGCTGCAATTATGCTTTCTTTCTATGTCTCCGGGAATTTAATCTTTCTCAAAACCAAACTTTTACTCAGCGTATTCCTTTCATATCATATCAAAATAGGTATACACATTTTATTAGTTTAACATTATTATCACTTCTAAATGACAAATTACCAATATCTCATCTATATGTATTTCTTTTCTCAGTGTAAAAATGATATTGTGCTATATATGTATATATACATATGTTATGTGAAAATTTTTCATTCGAAAATATCACTGCTTTGTACAGAGCTAGCTACAGCAGACCAAAAGCAACATGAAGTTCTAGAATCGTTGACATATATCTCAAATAAAATAAACTACTTAAAGAATTATAAAGGAGAATTTTCTTTCGAGTAATTATAAAAGAGAATGTTAATAACTAGAGTTAAGCACTTTGAATTTGAATAAAAAAAAAGTCAATTTGAAAGCAGCAGATAATTAGCATAACTGCATCATAAAGTATGTTAGCGAAGGATGCGACCTCTGCGGATTGTACAATCATAGAAGCATGCAGATCTTGATAGAAATTTGTTGTTGAATATGTTCGTTATTGAGTGGAAGAAATGAAGGAATGGTGAAGAAAAGTGAAGTGAAAGGTGGTGAGAAGAGGGACCGGGCATGCATAGATTGGTTTGGATTAGAAAGTTTAGGCAAAGGAAAAAATTGATGATTATGAGGAAAAAGGAGAAAGTTTGGAAGGAAGTTGTGTTAGTGAGCTTAGGCTGTGTCCCTTATGGAGAATCCCTACTGCTCCTGCCCTTACCTTCAAACCTTCCCGTCCCCACTGCTTCCCCATATCCATACAATCACATTTTCCTTTCACAATCATTCCAACACCAATCTTTATGCCCCCACATTCTCATTTTTCATTCCAACACCTTCATAATTCAACACTTTCTATTTATTGCAACTAACAACAATACTTCCATTTCTTAACATATTAAATAATATTCTAAATTAAGATTTCAACTTAAATATCTTAAATAATATATAAAACAAAACTCAAAATTAATCCTACTAATCGAAAAGTCAAAACTTAATTAAATTAAAAAAATTATAATTTCACTTCAAAATCTAACAACCCAAACATATTTTTAATCATACTAAAAATATGTATTCACCCCTCTTCTTACATGCATTTCTTTAAATAGAACCCAAGCTACCAAACGCGCCTTTCTGTCTTTTTCTTATATAAGCTTGGTGGGCCACTTGGGCTTTCTTTCGAAATATCACGGGCCTCCCAGACAAGACGTTGAATGTGTGGGCCAGGGCTCCGTCAGGTTCCTAGCCCGTCTTCAAATCATCATAGGACCCCTTATGCTGTTTTTTGTCCTGTAAATAGTAACAATATCTTATCTTTTCAGCTAAAATATATTTTTATCGCTATTTTTTTAAGTCTTTCTTTTTTCATTTTATTCCTTATAAAATGAAGATAATTTATTACTAGTCCCGATCAGTATATATTTTTAAAAGGGAAGACTAAACCATAAAGATATAAAAATATGATAAAATGCCACTTGAAAGTAATATTATGAATATTAGTGTAAATAAAATATTGACAAAAATATTTATGTTCAAGGTAACTTGCATTCTCTCCAAGGAGACCAAAAGAGTTATTACTTCTCCATTTCATGCTTTGAATGAGAATGCTAGTTAAATTAAAACAACGTTCAGATAATTTAAACACGCCTAAATAGATTACATTTTGATGAATTTCTATTATAAGAGTTAAGAATATTTTGTTTTACATTTATGGGGTTTGAAAAAGCCACACGTGTATTTTAAAATATTTAAAATTACTTGATGAAAAAATGAATAGGATTTTAATAAATGAACTAAAACTAATTCTATCTTTCACTCTTTTAATAACTATTTGTTTCTTATTCTCACATCTTCCTTGTGCTATCCCCCCATACGTTAGCATCTATTTATTTTTATAGTTGGGTTTGAACAATAAATTAAAAGAAATGTGATCTTAGTACTAAAAATGAAAATTCGTCTGTGTTTTGAATTAAAAGGTATTGCTGACAAAGACGAAATATATGTAATTGTAGAGACATCTAACAAACATAAAAAATAAAAGTGGTACAAATCTCAAAGTTTAAGTAGCAATGTTCATATGAGATATTTGTACACCATGCTAAAAATTCACATGAATTTTATCCAAATTCTTCTTAAAAATAATATATTGAAATCTATACACTTTTTGAAGATGAATGTAGATTTTTTTAAGTTTTAAAGAATGTTATTTAAATGTTGCATTATTTAATTTCGTTTGAAAAAAAAATATTTATTATTATCCTAATTGAATACATTTTATATTACTTACATATCTTAGTTGGAGACGTCAAACTAATGTTGAAATAGAAAACTGATATCACAATACATTGGTTATGAGAAAGTCTGATGTTAACTAACGACGAATAGCACAACACATCGGCCCCAATTGGAGTCACTTGTGACAAAAGAAAATGAGTAGCATTTGACGCTTTTTAGTATACTAGGAGATGTCAAATGTTGTATATTTTTTAAAACAATTTTTTTTTATAATTTCCCAAAATGTGCATAACAGAAAACGTTTAAAATAATTTTGAATGTCAATACATATTCAAAACTAAAACAATGAACTAGTTAAAACTACACTAAAACTAAAGCTATCAAAACTAAAACAATTAAAACTAAAGTAATCAAACTCTGGAAGCAAAATACAATGGTTATTTAAAAAGATTCAATGTTATCTCTTTTGTTAAACTAGAGTTGATACTCTTTTAAAGTGATTTCTTCTATCCTTTCACTCAAATACAAAAAAAAAAACAGACTTTTTATATAAATTATTTTAGACCTTTTACATTTGTTGTAGGTTATATGTAATTGTGGCATATGTAAATTTACATATGTTGCAACAATAATAAACATAAGTTTTTATATTATTTTTTCTTATTTCTACAGTAAATTTTTTTTCTTGGTTTTCATCTTCTTCTCCTTTTTCTTTTTATTCTTTCCCTATTTTTGCACTAGGTGTCAATAGCACTTCTTTTGGGATTTTTTTAGTCTAAATACGTGTTTTTAGGTTGGATTCCTCTTTTCTTCTATATTCTTTTCTTAATAGGAATTTTCATTCATAAAATACTTTTAATCATAATTTTATTTGAGTCTTAGTTAGTCATAGTTTTGTAGATTGTTAATTTTTATAGATTGTAGTTAGATAGGATAATCTAGCTTAGGTAAAGTATTAGAAGTAAGATTTGGTGTAGGTTTTGGTTTTTAGTTCTAGAATTTGTTTCTAAAATCAGTAGCTTATTTAGATAGTTAAGGTTGCCTCTAAACTACATTTTTAGTGTCTTCTTCTTCTCCAAAAATCAATCACACGCACCAACACCATAGTAAAAAAGATGAAAAATTAACTTCAATGCAAAAAAAATTCTTCCAAGAGAAAGATGTTTCCTAGTGAATTGGGCTAAAAATACAACTTTTAGTCACTAACGGAAGCCTAACTCACACAAAATGTTGTTGAGAGAGAGCTTCGGGAGACAACCAGAGAAAATGAACACAATTGGTTTTTTTAAGCACATTTAAGTCTGATACATATATACAGCAAATATAAATTTACGTATAACTTATAAACGCTAAATGTAAAAAATGTTTATACAATAGACATAAATTTATTATGTATGACCTACAAGCGTTAAAAAAAAAAAAAAACCTTTTGTATGTTTAACGATTATTAGTCAGATTTAAATTTTTGTATTAATTACAAAAATATTACTGTACTTTTTTTTACGTTTATTACTTAGATGTCAGGTGTAAATTTAATGATGCAGAAGTTATTTTTGTACTATTGACTCTCTATGTTTTAGTCATTGCACCTACACGGTCAGTTCTCCATAGCCGCTCTGGAATGTATATAAATATATGTAGTTAATAAAATCAGATAGAGTAAAGGTTGAAGAAGTCCAAACACGTGATTATTTTTCAAATAGTGTCATTATCACTTTAATGAAAAATCAACTTCCTTTTAAATAAAATAGAACCGAATCAAAGACAACTTTTTTTTTTTAATCTCATTAAATAAACTTCTCATCAAATTAAACATTATTTCATCCTTGTTACGAGGAAAAATCATTCCAAACCTTGCAAACAAAACAAAAATAAAATTCAGAAATCAAAACAAGCCCTTCAAACCTTCCACCCCAATTGAAGTATCTTTTTGTTCACACTTGCATTCTGTTTTAGTTGCCCAAAGGAACCAGCTTTCTTTCCCCTCCCACTGTGAATTTTCCAATTGGATAAACCATTAGGGTCAGTGCTTAGCTTTTTCCCCTTCGGCTTTGAGCTGACATTTGATAATCTGCTGCCACAAACAGGGCTTGAACCTCCTCTCAGGGTCTTTACCCAATCAATCTTCTTCACTTCCTTCACATTTTTTGGCCAAGAATTCCGTTGATAAGAACCACCCTTTTTTACATTGTTCACCTCTCTGATTTCAACTTTAGTTCTCCCTTCCATTCTTATGCTTATGTTCAGTTCAGTAAGTGCTCTAGCTCGCTTATTGTCAAGTTCAAACGTTTCTTTTGCACTTCTTTCCTTCCTCTCCTGGTAAATCCGGTGCAACCCAAGAGCAAGGTGGTATATACCCTCCTTTATCTCTTTCTCCAACTCATTTTCAATCTCCATTCCAAGCTCACTTCGTATCTTCAACTCCTCTTCCGAAATAGGAACCATGTTACACTTCTCACGGCACTCCCTTTTGGGATTATCAGTTTTTTCCTGTTGTTCAAATATATATATATAGTCCAAAAAAGCAACAAAATTGAGATCACAACTGCAATTTAAAATCTTAGTAGGAGTTAAATTCAGTCGTTTAAAAGTTACAACTAGACAGAAGTTAAACCTTTTGTGAGTTCAGTGTTGAACTAAGCCAAGTACTGCTGTCAAACTCAAAATCTTGGCAATTCTCTGCTGATAAATCTGCAAAAGTAAAACCCAGTAATAATTTGTGAGGAAAAGCTTGAGGAGCATGAAAATAAAGACTTTGAGTGCAATCAGAGAACCTAGGATATCTGCCTTATTGTACTCTCCTTGATGACCCATGTTGTATGGTTGGTGCTTGCAATAGCAGCATCGAACTTGTGGAATTTATATGACAGCAAAGTGCTGCATGGGGCCTGTGACAAATTGTAAGGAATAGGACACATATTATGGTGCTTAGAGAAAATGTGACAGTAAGAGACGATGTTTCAATGGGATCAANCTTTTGCACTTCTTTCCTTCCTCTCCTGGTAAATCCGGTGCAACCCAAGAGCAAGGTGGTATATACCCTCCTTTATCTCTTTCTCCAACTCATTTTCAATCTCCATTCCAAGCTCACTTCGTATCTTCAACTCCTCTTCCGAAATAGGAACCATGTTACACTTCTCACGGCACTCCCTTTTGGGATTATCAGTTTTTTCCTGTTGTTCAAATATATATATATAGTCCAAAAAAGCAACAAAATTGAGATCACAACTGCAATTTAAAATCTTAGTCGGAGTTAAATTCAGTCGTTTAAAAGTTACAACTAGACAGAAGTTAAACCTTTTGTGAGTTCAGTGTTGAACTAAGCCAAGTACTGCTGTCAAACTCAAAATCTTGGCAATTCTCTGCTGATAAATCTGCAAAAGTAAAACCCAGTAATAATTTGTGAGGAAAAGCTTGAGGAGCATGAAAATAAAGACTTTGAGTGCAATCAGAGAACCTAGGATATCTGCCTTATTGTACTCTCCTTGATGACCCATGTTGTATGGTTGGTGCTTGCAATAGCAGCATCGAACTTGTGGAATTTATATGACAGCAAAGTGCTGCATGGGGCCTGTGACAAATTGTAAGGAATAGGACACATATTATGGTGCTTAGAGAAAATGTGACAGTAAGAGACGATGTTTCAATGGGATCAAGCAAATTTAGGCTCCAAATATCTCTAACTGTAATAGTATGTGATTTGGATGTGCATGGACGATAAGAAGAGAGAAATTCTGCTTTACGTGGAAGAAATAAGGCCCTAGTTTGGTTGCCCTTAAAGCACAATCAATAATAGGGTGTGATACTTTCACATGTTTGATGTGTACCTTTCCTTCGGGTTTTCAAGGTTGGTTTTCAAGCCATGCTTTCCATTTATAATATCCATGCTTTCCATTTTTACCATTCTTGGTAAACTAAATTAAAATGTTTGATAAAAAAGGTTACTATATTATTCATCTAAAAATCCTTAAACTTTGCTGTGAATACAAATATTTAATACATTCGTTAATGATAGTGGTTATGGAATTTGGTTGGATGTCCCTTTCTATATATTAAGGAATAAGAAAAAATCGTTACTAGTGTTTCACCTAAATGAAGTTTTCGCTATGAATTGTTGGAGAATGAATATACTCATATGCAAATGTATTGTAGTAAAAAAAAGTTAACTCATTCCTTACTACTTATCAGGAAATATAAATAATGTTGGCTTTAGTTTTTTATTAGAAGGTTTAAACCCTTCCTTGGTCCTCATTTTTGTATGAAAATCTCAGTTTGGTCATCATTTTTTCATCTGTCTCAATTGGGTCATATTTTTTGTAAAAATGAACACATTTTATCCTAACCGTTAAATTGTAACAAACGGCGTTAAATTAAAGACACGTGGTGTAGAGAGAATGTGTTGACGTTTGTTGCTCATTTACGTGGAATGTTTTAATTAAATAAACAATGGTGATTTGAAAGGCCACATGGTGATGTTTTGACTAGAACCACATCTTCTCCTCCCTCCCCCTCTGCTTCCTCCCCCATTATTGCTCCATCGGCCCCACCCACCATCTACAACACAATCACAGACCAAAAAAATGACATTCTTCTCGATTCAGTTGCAGATACACATCCCGAAACCCTTACAGCAGTTAATAAAGAAAGCATACACATAAGAAAAATCACCCAAACAGAAAAAAAAAACTCCACCATTTATAATAGAACAACTGAAACTCTCAACTATTTCGAAATTCCACACAATCCATCTGCAAAACACGTAGCATAATGCATCCGCACACCCAACCCAACTGAAACACGAAAATCCCCCAATTCAAAAACAATGCTCACAGTTTAGCACACCAAAAACGAGAATTAGAAACTCGCAACCAATCAAAATCCGCAAGGCAGTGAACT